TATATATATATATATCCCAGTCATCAGTTTAGAGTTAGCCATGAATATTGGCCCGAGAATTATTGCTCTCACTCTGGTGCATGTGGCGATACCTGGCGTGTAGTGCAATCGTCGTTTTCGTACATAGGTGTACCAAACTTGTGTTTCCATTAGTATGCGTGCTTTCACGGGGTCAGGGGACTTTTTTGGCGGTATTTTTATTTACTTTATTGCGGTCACATGGAGCGCTCACAAGCCCCCTATGAGATGGCACATGGGAGGTGACAGGTTCTCTCTAAGGTGACATTAGGGGTCTATTAGACTTAGCGTCACCTTTCCACTTCACTAGGGAATGACAGCTGCCTGCTGAGGCAGCTAAATGTAAACACAGCAGGCAGTGGCTGGGAGTAATAGCCAGCCTGCTATTGACTATTTTCAATTGCAATCGCCAATAGCAGGCTGGCTATTGCATCCCTGCCCACTGCCAATCAGCAGTGGGGGGAACTGAAGGCAAAGTTCTATTTCAGGGCTTCCTCTGCTGATTGACAGCAGACAACGGGCAAGTGCAATAGCCAGCCTGCTATTCGCTTTGCAATTAAAATTATCCAATAGCAGGCTGGCTATTGCTCCAAGCTGCTGAATGGGAGTCTTGACGCCAGCTTTTTACCGCCGGAAGAAGAGGGGGCACAGGGCACAGCAGAGGAGACACAGGGCACAGCAGCAGGGGAATGCAGAGGCACACCGGTTTCTACTCCCTGCTGGGCATGGCCTGCAGCACTCTTGTGTACCCTCAAAATCGAAGACCGCAACATGCAGCGGCTCCCATCGAGGAGAACAGAGGAGCAGAGCAGCAAGGAGGGATTCAACTAATCGGAATCAAGTAATCGATAATGGGAATAGTTGATAACGATTCTCATTATTGATCATCATCGATTAGTTGTTATTACAGTGCATCTCAGACACCAAAAAAGGTAGGGTATCCAGTCCCAAGCAAAAATAGTTACCACCAGCATAATAAAATAACAGTTTATAATAAATGTATAAACAGATTAAATTAGCATTTACCTTCTTCTGTATGATTTCCTTCCTGAGCTGCACCTCCAATGTAGTGCAGACTTTTGCTATGGGACGCAATCCATTTTTTTTTGGTATGAAGCGTAATGTGGATATCATCAAACTGTTTTTCTTTTGCTGTGCGTTGTCGATTTCATCAGGCGACATTAATTGTAGCTTTGTCAAATGTTTCCTTTTCAAAATAAAAATAAACAATTTAATTACAGGAAACCGCTGACCTATATAGGAGAAATTATTTTAGCAAAGCTCTCAACTCTCCTGATTTTAAATGGACTACCTTGTAAGTCTAGTCACCCCAGTTTCGTTAGGGGAGGTTATAAACTGAACTCCACCTACAAAACTCAGCTCTGCCTACTTGTAGTATTTAAATATTAAAAACAGACAAGAACACATTATATTTCTATTAATACCAAAACATAAATTGTTAAACAATTTAATGACTATACCACAGCAAAACATCAGAATGTCCTGACTATCTTAATCATAGTTGGTCCCAAAAGATAGAATGGGTCTTCTGAAACAGTTTTTCCCCCATGTAACAGCAAGGTAGGCTCCACATATTCTTTATTGTTTTCATTTACTTTTCTGCCCTTGATGTGTTACCATTTCTTCCACAATCTATACATTTACCATATATTTTGTGAACTCTGCAACAAAACTATTTAACTTGTGGAAGTCATGTCCTATAATAGTTGGGTGCATGCCTCCTATCTGCATAAAGGAATGTTTGGACCATAAGAGTGATTTTGCTAAATTTTTGTTCTATTAACCCTTTCGCTCCCAAGGACGTACGGCATACGGAGCTACAAAAGTGCTTCCAGCTGGCCAGCTCAGTATGCCGTACGGACCTGGCATTTACAGTTCTACTATAAGCTGATGGTCTGGAGTCTCTCATCCTTCCCTGGAGCCATCCCAGGGAGGGATGAGAGACTCCATGGATCCCCGCTGCTTGTAGGGTCTGTGGCAGCGGGCATCCGTAAAAAAATCACCGGCGGGGGGTCGGGGGGGTCCCGGGAACGAGCGGCGGCTGGCCGCAAAACGCAGCAGTTGAAAATCAAATCAATAGGAAAAAATTGCAGAAAATTCAAAAATGGCTTGGCCAGCTGATTTGAAAAATGTTCCGGAGGGCTTGGCAGCGAAAGGGTTAAAATGGTATTAACAGAGAAACAAAGCACTGTATTGCAGGTGCCTTGTTAACGTTCTACAAAAGCAAGAATCCCGTTGTACAGCAATTCATTGTTTATACAGTAAACTCCCAGTTAACTGGAATCCACAGGGATTGGTAGATTCTGCATAAATGTAGTTTCTGGTTGCTCGAGAGTTACTATTAAAATGGGTTTAACTAATGCTATACCATACCATACCATATTAGTATAATGTACTCTAAACCAGTGCTTCTTAAAGTGTGGGTCGCGACCCCATGTGGGGTCCAGCAAGTTAACAGGGGGGTCGCGATCCGAGTCCCCGGCCAGGACCACCATCAGGGGGGTATGGCCGGTACTTGTGTGAGGGGGCCCAGGCGGCCGAGGAGGTCTGGGCTCCAAGCTAGATTGTTTTATTTCAGTTTAATGTATAATTTGCAGTGTAGTGTAGTTTTTAAGGTCGTGGCCCCCCTGTGCACTTGGTACCTTCCTGAGCACGTGTGTGCAGGAAGTTTTTGTTTTTTTTTTACATTGACTCTTGGGTTACTTTCTTTAACCCAGCAGCAGTGGAGCGCAGCTGCTGGACGTAAAGCTAAGGAGGGGGAGGGGGCTTAGTAGTACTGACTGAATTAGCATTACATTGCAGTACTGGAATGATCACTAGGTGGTGCTTGTTCACAGCACTTTCACAAACGATCGGACACCCGTTTCCAGGATCGTTCAGACACTCATTCCCAGAATAATCCAACACCTTTTGATGCCTTTCCATGGCCCAGAGCCTACTCTCACTCTCCTAGAAGGGGGAAGATCGGCAGAACAGCGAGTACACAGCGGATTTATTTTTTGCCGGTCAAATGGGAGTTCCGGTTAGCTGAATATCGGATAACAGAGTTTACTGGAGTTAGTTTGTATGTAAAGCAAGATTACCAGTCATTAAATAAAGTAAGAGATTCGGAACATGCCAGAGCCAAAGTGTGAAAAAGGTGCAGTTAGACCTAATGAAATATTTGCAGTCATAAAAGGTAACAAATGCCAAGCTTATTTGGAAAAGAGATCGAAGGTGCCTCGATCATCTCAAAATAGGTAATTTTTATATAGCAAAAGAAGGCGGTTTTAATTTCAACAGCATCTATGCATTTGGAAAAAATATAGATGCAAGCTGCTATTGCAACAAAGTAAATTAGACTATGTCTGGCATTTAACTTAATCTACATTCCAAAAGCAGAACAGATTGGACACAGTTGGTCAATGCCACTAGATGTGTGTGGCGATGTACCTCTGCCCACAACAAAAAGTTTGTATAGGGTACCCCTATATAAGACAGGCTTCAAATACAATTTTACAGAGAATTCTACAATAATGTGACTAATGATTTTAGACTTAGATTTCAAATATGGATGAATGCATGGGTTGTATTTGAATTACTATTGAGTATGAGAAGTTTGTAACCATAAAGAAAATATTTTATGGTTGATTAGATGAGAATAATTGAAAGTCTTGTATTTCTGTTCGAGGTAGGAACACTGGATTGAACTAGAGTTACAAAATAATTACAAAGTATTTAAGTTTTTGTGGGGAACCCAAATGGGGTCACAGTAGTAGGTGTTGAGGTCACTCATTAGAGGTGTGGGAAGTGTTAAACAATAATTACAGAAAGCAGGCGACAAAAACTTTAAAGTAAAACACAAGATTTAAGGGCATTAGGTGACTACTTACTAAATACTCACCATCATTGTAGTTTCACCACTTGCTAAAAGAGGAGCTTGTCACTTTGCATTTACTGGGGGCAATAGCATTAATATTGCAGGAGAATAAACCTTTTGGCTCATGGGAGTCTCCTAACCCATAGTAATACAAAACATAACTTACAAGAAACACTTACATAAAAGAGGAAATGGACAATAGAAGATTTTTGGGAGGCTTACCGTTAAAAAGGGAACATGGCCCACCCATGACGAGAGTGGTTTGTTGTGCTAATGGGCTAGCAGGGTAGTCTCCGGTGATCATCCAGGCACCTGGGGGCAGCTCCATCAGAGGGATATTCGTTGCCTTTTTCTCAATAGAGTATGAGGAAGTTTAGCCATTTAAGATGGCAGCTCTGCCACAAGGCGGCCATGCATCTTCAGCAAGGGGAATGTAGGGAGATTCAACAGCCTGTGGACTTGGTACCATCTTCCCTCACAAACACAGCAAGTCAGTCTCCCTTTTGGTTCCCCCTCACATTCCCCAGGTAGTGCACATTTTGATTGGGACTGGGAAGAATGCATTAGAGCTCAGAGAGATTCAAAATAGAGAAATATGTTCGAAGACTGGAATCTGTATACAATACAGATCCAAACCCTTAAAACGGAGCTTCAGGCCATGCATTCCTGAACCTCTGCTTTGGAAACAACCTGCACTTCTCTCCAGACAGCTGTTACTACACAGGCACAGCATATAGATCTCGATGAATCTCACATTTGGACCCTATTACTGTTACACGACAATATTGAAAATAGGAATCATCGTAATAATACAAGGATAAGTGGATTACTATAGGCATTGCTGATTTGTTAGCGACTGTCAGAGATCTGTTTGTTAAGCTCCTTAATCACACAGACAACAAATCCATAGAACCTTAGACTGCGGAATCTAGACCCTGCTCGGCCACAAAACGTGATTTGTTGGGTTCATGTTTTCACAATTACAGAAGCTATTATGCAGGAGGAGAGGGCATCCAGCCATATCAACTTAAATGGTGCACATCTTACCCTGTTACCTGACCAAGCACATGGACCAGAGGAAGGTGCTGAAACCTGTCCTGACTTTGCTACAATAACATAACTAACCCATTATGCCCCTGAAAGAGGAATGGATAGCTCGATAATAGATGGGGTTATCCATTCCACTTTCAAGTCAGGAAAGCAGTCAGAAACTACCTGGTCAGACAGACATCTGGAAGACATCACACCACCAGTGGAACTACTAGGCCTCCCTCTGTTAGCTATCGTCTGGCCTTGCATATTCTCGCTCCCAGCTTCTAGATACAATCCTCAGGATCTCTCTTATGCATAAAACCGGGATTGGCTCTCCTGCTGCAACGTGACGCGTCATGTGTCCATGGATGCACTACATGCCCTTTAGCTCAATCTGCCCTGTTACCTGGGGTCTTTTACTTTTGGGACTTTGCTGCATAGTTTCCCATGCTTCACAGTTGTGGTATCTACATTATACTAGACCTCCTAGTTAGGCTCCACAAATTCTGGGTCCCGCCATCCGATTATGAGGGTCTATACCCCCACTCTTGTCTATAGCATCACTGAAGGTTCTCAGGGCCTACCTTCTTACTTACTCTCTTAGCTTCTTTTCTGAGATTTCGTGCTCTCTCTTCCTTTACATCTATATCTCAGGGCCCTGAACTTCCCTTGTCAGGTGTTGAAAACTCATATTTCACTCATTACAAAACCAGAGATTCCACTTTGTGTTCTAATTATCAGCCTATTTCTCTAACTGGAGTTGATATTAAAATATTTTCTAAGCTGATTGCTAACAGACTCCAATCCTTACTCCTACATATTATTTATCAGGATCAGGTGGGGTTCAGCCAGGGTCATGCAGTTAGGGACAATACCATTAAAACCTTGTTGTGATGCAGCATGTTCAAACTTCAAAAACTCGCATATGCCTTTTATCAGTCGATGCAAAAAAGGCATTTGAAAAGGATAAATAGGATGTTCCTATACCACACCTTCAGGTAGGTTTATTTCCGCATATGATCAGAAACATTAGGGCCCTAAATTCTTTGCCATCGGCTAGGGTCCGTATCAATGGATTTCCAACGTTCTCCACAGCAGAACTGATTATTCTGATCCTTTTACATTTTGGTATTCCCACCAATCTCTCCCAATAGTTCTCTCTTAACTTTCAGCCCTTACTTCAAAAGGACTTCCTGTACTTATTCCAAAACGGTCCCTGTCGGAGTCCCCCCCTTCTTTTCTGCAACCGCTGCAAGGAGCTTTCAAGCACTTTATTTGGGGTGCATGTCGACCTA